ACTATATTTTCTTTTAGTCTTTTACAGCTTTTGAAAAATGTTTAGATTAGTATTCCATCTGGAATGTTTTCTGGAATATGCAGTAAGATCATGTACTAGCTATGCTTAACTCAGCAGAAGGTTTTTGGTTTTTTTATGTTTTAAGTCAGATAACAAAATCACTGTGGGTGTTTAACAAGTAGACACCATAAAGCAACTTTGAGACCCAGGCTCTTTCCATCCTGTTTCTACCCTTCTCTAGGTAAGAGGTCAGCAAATTACTGGCCACAGGCCACCTCCAGCCCACTGCCTGTCTTTATAAATAAAGTATTATTGGCATATAGTCATGCCCTTTTGTTCACATAGTGTCTATGAGTGCTCTCCAGTAAAACAAGTTAAGTAGTTGTCTTGGAGAACGTCTGACCCACAAAGTCTAAAATACTTACTATGTGACCCTTTGGAAAAACATTTGCTGACTCCTGCTCTGAAGTCTCAAGGTCCTTAGTTTCCTCATGGCACATGAGGAAGAGAGAACATGCAGGAAGGTTTCCATGGGTACAGCCTGAAAGTGGAGCATGAAGCTTTCACCTTCATCCCACAGGTCGGGACTCAGTCACATGACCTAAGCTAACAACGCAGGAAGCTAGGAAATGCAAATTATGTGCACTCAGGAGGAAAGAGAATGATTAGCCTTTTTCTTTTTTTCTTTTTCTTTTTTTGCCATAGTGTATACTGCATTTATTCATTTCTCTTTTCTTCCCTGTTTTTAATCAGAACAGACTAGAAAATACTGCACAACCAACCTCCAAATCTCAGTTGTTTGGAACAACAAAGGCTCATTTCTTTCTCAAACTACACGTCCATTAGGATCAGAAGGAATGGCACTGCTCATTATTATCATTCATTTCCATCCGATGGAACAGAAGAGCCACCGCCATATAACTTGCTGTTTTCAGTACTAGACGCAAAAGAGAATGTGGTGACCCATGCACTGTAGCTTTTAGCTTCCACCCCAGAGGTGATACTCATCACTTCCATCCACCGTTCATGGGCTGAAGCAAGTTGCAGGGCTATATTATACTTCAGTTGATGAGCAACTGCATTCCCACCACGTGCTTTGAAAAAGGCAGAGCTGGAATATTTGTCAATAGCTCAAATGTGTGCACATGAGCGTACACACACACACATACACATACACACACAGAGAACACACTCATCCCTTCCCTAAGGTGATAACCTCGACTCCACCCAGTCACTGTACCCAGTCAAAGTCCAGGACCCCTAGGTGGTGGATGCTCCTCTCCATCAGGTCTGAGTATTGCCTAGTGATCTGGAGCTTAACCACTGAAATCACTCTCTGTTGTCACCACTTATTCAAATATCGAAATTCTCATAGTTACACACCTGATCACGGATTAAAAGAGGTTCCCGGGGTCTGAACTGCTTTCATAAACATGAATGATCATGCCTAGGAAACCAGGAGGCCAGCACAACCTGGGGGTAGAAAGGAGAAGATGTGGCATTTTGCTGAAATCAGTACTGCAAGAAGAGTCAGCCTTACTGAAGGATAGACCTGATTCCTCTATGCTTACAATACGGCATATTAGAAAAAGTGTGAGTGACAGTCTGGAGAAAAGCAGAAGGTACAAAGAAAATACTTGTACAGAAATATTAGAAAATATGAGCTGACCTCTCTCAGAAAAATGGGTGTTCTTGTGGTTCTTATTTGTTTTCTTAGGAAAAAAATTTCACTTTTCTATTTAGTTTAGAAAATAGTAAAATGCTAGATTCACAATTATAAAGTGTAAAGACCCATTTTGAATGTAGATAGAAAACTTCCTGATTGGGAACCAGCAGTTAGCGTAATGGCTATGTTGCTGGACTCCCATGTAGTTGACCGCGGTTTGAGTCCCGGACCCGGTGGCTTAGAACTCACGCCAGGCGTGTGTGTGTGCGTGCCCAAGATCCCGAGAGGAGAATGGAGGAGAAGGGATTGCAGTGTGACCATCCCCCCTGGGGGGTGATTTCTCGCTTTCTGTCTCTATGTCTGTCTGTCAAGCGCACGTGCCCTATAGCGAAACCCTCTCCAAAAAAAAAAAAAAAAGAAAAGAAAACTTCTTTTTCGAAATTACAATGGGATTTTTTTCAAATAAACTTTCAATGTCTAGTGAAAACACCGATATATGTCTTTTTCATAATGTATTGCTTTGGATTTTTATATCTCTAAATGACAATAGGAATATAATTCACATTTTTAAACTCACTCATGCTTAACTCATCAACATATGTGCTACTTAGTTAGTTATTTGCTGTGTAAGGAGCTTTCACTGTCTTTCAATAAATATTTTAAATCCTTCCCCCAGAAAAGAGATGTTCTTTTTTTCCCAGAGTAAGTTCATTTAAGCAGCAAAGTTTTGCTTGATTTGAAACTCATTGGCCATACTTTTTTCCCCTTTCTTCCTTCTCTTTCTTCCTCCTCCACCTCCCCTTCCTCCTTCCCTTCTTCCTCTCCTTCTTCCTCCTCTTCCTCTTCTTTTTCTTCTTCCGCTTCAATAAATTCTCCCCATGCCATGATCCTTCCAGCCCCAACCTTCCAGTTAGCTGAGCCCACAGGTACCCAGCATATTTGGCTTGGGCCAGAAACTGAACCTGGGCCTCCTATGTGGCCCCAGTGCAGCTGGGCCACGTAAAATTTTAAAAGTCTATTTGCTTTTGCTGGACTCCTTAGCTAACTCTTGAAAGAAAACATTGGTTTTTTGTTTGTTTGTTTGTTTTTCAGTGTTACTTTATACTTGTCTTTTTGCCGGCTTCTGTTCCCAGTAGAATTAGTTTTAGTGTAGTTTGTGGTACTGTGGCTACTACTACACTCCTATTCTCCATTTGTTTTTTATTCCATTCAGTGCTTTAATGTCTTTGCTCTCAAGACACATACCAGTTTTTCTTACAGCTACTATCTGCTTATGGGAAAACAGCCCTTAAATATAAAGACCATATATGGGCTTCTGAAAATCCTTTCTTCGCTCTGGTTATATTCAGTTCTTGAAAGTATTTTTCTGTCTGACTTCACTAATCAAATTAGGTTTGGAGTTCTGGAAAGGTGATGAAGTGGTAGAAGAAAAGAGTAAGGACTGAGTTCAATGTTATTTCCAAGGTCCTTCCTAGGAAAGAACTCATTTATGACTCATTTTGGATTTTCTTTTCTTTTTTTTTTTCAGTTTTTGCTATAGGGCCGCATATGCTTGGCAGAGAGAGAGGGAAAGTGGGAAATCACCCCCTTGAGAGATGGCCATGGCACAGTCCTATCTCTTCCATTCTTTTCTTAGGATTTCTCAGGATTTGGGGCATGTATGCACACATGTCTGGTGTATTTTCAAAGGAGCTAGGTCCAGGACTAGAACCATGCACTCTGCCATGTAGGATCCAGTCACCTTAACCACTGTGCCACCTGGATGGCCCTCATTCTGGAATTCTTATTATGGGAGACACCCTTTCAAAACTTAAATAAATTATTTTGCCAAAGGACTTAAAAATGCATCAAATTCCAAGTGCCTTTTTTTTAAAAATACTTTTTTTTTTAGGTTTTTGCCATAGGTCACATATGTTCACCACAGACAGAGAGAGACAGTGAGAAGGAAAGTGAGAAATCACCCCACTCATGGCCACCAACAATCCCTTCTCCTTCATTCTCCCAGGAGTTTGGGCACATGTGCCTATAGTGTGATCTTCAAGCCACGAGGTCCAGGACTTCAACTGAGATCGACTATGGTTGGAGTCCATTGCCTAACCACCACACTACCCGCTGGCCTCAAGTAAAATTTTTACAAGTTACTTATTGGACTGGAAATTAATAAGCAATAGGATGATTTTTGCCATAGATACACATAGTATGACTTCTAGAAGCAAGCTTTTTAACTGTAGCATAGGTGAGGCCAAACAGCCTGGGTGTAAATTCTTCCTCTACAACTTACTAAAAATCTAGGCAAGTTATTCAATCGCTCTGTACCTCAGTTTCTCTATCAGTTAAACAAAAAGGCAAAATAATACTTACCTAATGGAGTAGTTTGAAGATCAAATGGGCTAATACTCATAAACGTATGCCAAATAAATTATATGACCCACACACCAAGATGGTGTGACAATAAAATAGCAACAACAGTCACCATAAGTCAGGTAAGAAAAATGAGCTTCTATTCTTTTCACTCCTCTCTCGCTTATTATAGCTGTGCTTTGTCAGCAGGGGTTGGTTTTGTTAGCAGATGTGAACTTTACCCGAATGTGTGTTTGTATTTTATTTCAAATTACGAATTTCTGATCATCGAATGATAGACGGTTCTGCCATATACTTGGGGTAGAAGAAGCATTAGATTCTGCAGTGTGAGAGTCATAACTGATTCTGATTTTCAGGGACTTTGACATCCAAGGAGCCTCTGAGAAATAGTTATTGCTATTGAGGGGGAAGAAAAGGAGGCTAAGAAGTCACCCTGCGAAAAAACTAAACTAAAATAAGCAGGATTGGAGAGCAGCCTGCATTTCACTCCGCCGCCTCTGGAAGAGGTGTGTTATCTAAAGTGTTTCCATCATGAATGATGATTGAGAAACTGCCTTTGCTCTGCCGACTGCCTACTGTACTCCCAAGCAGACTCCCTGGGCTGAAACCAACGGCGTCTCTCGGTGACTTGGTTCTCACACACAGTTAGGAGCGAGCTGAAGACCAGCAGCGAAGGGGAGGGGCCAGGACACTCGGGCTAGCCCGCAGGGAGGTCAGACCGGAGCCCCGGTACTTTTTCCTAGCCGGATTTTTTTCGGGCCATTCGTGAATAAGCTATCTTTGTTTACATTTTGAGCTTGACTCATCACCAGCACCAGCAAGCATTACTATCTTCTGAAAGGAGAAGGATCTTGCATTTTCAGACAGTGGTGGGGGTGGAGAGGTGGTGGTGGTGGGGGGAGACAAAGTTCATTCCCCTGGGAAGGGGAGGGAGATTCTCTTGCAACACACCCGAGTTGTGACAAATCTCTGAATAGCCAGGGCAGTATTCAGCGAGGTGGAGATTTAGGCAGAGACGAGGAGATCGGTGTGGGGCAAGCAAGCAAAGTGCGGAAGCTGTACGGGGATTCTTCTAGAAAGTGGGGTGGGAAAGGAGCTAGGGAGGGCGTGTGGAGGGAAGGGATCTGTGTCAGAACGTGCGTGTGAGCGGATACAAAACCCGAGAGAGGCGTGAGCAGCGCTGTGTGTGTGAGCGGGAGCGCGGGGCGCCGGCTCGGGCTGCGAGCGCCGGGTGAGTGACACCGAGGGGCGGGCTGGCCGGCGGGCGGGGGAGTCTGCGCGGGGCGGG